GTCCAGGGGGGGGGTGCTATCACCTTTTGATAATTTGATTATGAATAGAGTGAAGAAGGGGGGGGGTATTCCTACATGTGTTTCTCCATGAACAGAAGGTACTAAGAGAGGGGGGGGGTACTGCTGAAGGCTTTTACAAGATGGCACTGAAAGGAACATTATAATAGTATCATAATTAAATGATCACTCTAAGTCCACTAGTGTAGACATCATGAATACATGGTTTTATTTCTGGCATCATTTGTCTGCTCTGCTTTAAATATATTACTGTATATATTTACCAAATGTTACATGCAGTCATTTTATTTATCCTCATCTGTATTTTCTTTTTCAACTGTTACCATTCTTAATTATCATTAAAAGCTTTCAATACATGACATTTTGGCGCTTTCAGTTCCAGAATTCATTCCAGTCCCAGACCCTTTTTATCCTGCTCTGTCGAGCTGTTGGTCGAGGAAAAAGTGCCGATCCAGAAGATCGTGAATGCGTATGCACTGTATCATCCAATAAGAATAAGCCAGGAATGGGGGGGGGCATTTGTTGCTTTTTCTAAGATATGAGTTTAATGAGGTCGGCAGGGGGGGGGTAACACAGGCGACAACACATTCTCTCCCCATTGAACGCCATTGGGGGGGGGGCCAGACTAAAATCAACCAAAAACTACCTCTTTTTAGACTAAGAGGGGGGGGGTGTAACTCTACCATATCCAAGACAAAAACAATACCCTATCCCAGGGGGGGGGTAGCCAATATAGGGAAGTCCCCTCCAACCAAGCCCAAGGATTCGGGGGGGGGTATATTTTCATGCGCATCAGAGACTGTTGTCAGCTAAAGCAGCGGGGGGGGGCTTTGTACGGAAAAAGGCGTATTCCCCCTCCTCCATCCACGCCGGGGGGGGGAAACCTACGGCAAGATAAACGTCTCTGCAAGTGTATTTTTCTGTAATTTTATGAAATTACAGGTCATTTGATTCGATATTATTACAAGCAAGGAAGCAAAAATAAGTCTAAATATAGAACAGTTCATTTGCTATACGGGTATGTCCCGCTCGATAGGGTCTCTTTTTCGGAGCTCCAAGTCTGGAATAGGGTATCACTTTTTGCCCATTTGTCTGGGTTATGGTAGTAGTTTTGTCTGGTGTAGGGTAGTTTTTTGGACTAGGATAGGGTATAGTATCATTGTCTGGGTGTAGGGTGGAGTTTGGGGGGGGGTCGTATCTGCCTGGCCACGCTTTCAGCGCTAAAATAATGTTCCGGGGGGGGGCTTTAGTCTGGGGTAGGGTTAGGTATGTAAAATCAAAAAAAAAGGGGGGGGGTATACAATCATATGATTATACCATTATACAGTATATAACATCATAATCTTATCGTGTTTAAAACCTTTCACTCGTTCTACTATAAGCGCGCATCCATGTAATATCCTGTCTTTCTCAACTTTCAAAAATAGCTAGTCCGACTTCACGCTCCAAGAGTGTCTAGTTCAAAGAGAAAGACTTGGTTCTAGTTTCTGGAGATTGTTCGAATCTTGACAGCTTCGGACGTGTGATTCCAACTCCATCATAATAGTCAACAGTGAATTCATGAAGTTTTCAACCTAAAAATCCCCTCCATCGTGTTTTTCTCAGGTAAGGACTAAATAATATTAATTTATGACATTTGAAGCCTTGATATCGCTACGATGAGAATGATTTTAGCTGATTTTGGTGCCACGCGCGTTCAAACTTTCAGCCAAAAGAACTTTGCATGTTTCATCTAGTATAGCTCAATCTGATTCCGGGGGGGGGCCTTGTTCAACTGAAGGCCAATGAGCTTTGTCTTTCTTTTTCTTTCACTAGCACAGCAAATAGGCTCACCCTGTTGAACGTTCGTGGCTAAAAAGGCTGTTTTATTTCAGGTGTTGTAATAGATGCAAAACATGAATATCAATGTCAAGACAGAACCACTAACTGTCAGTGACGACTGGTTTGCTTACCAAACCGATGCTGGAATCACTCTCTTTTACTACAACCGTAGAACTGAAGAACACATATGGAATGGGGGGGGGTGTTCATGCTTTCAAATGGTAAAAAATTATTTATTATAGAGAGGGGGGGGGGAAATCAAGCGTATTTTATTTAGCATTTCTCAAGTGATCTTATTGGGGGGGGGGAACAACTAGCTGGGAGGTCCGCGGTCATTTCGCTTTTGAAAAGGGGGGGGGTATTCCGGTTGAAAATGTGAATTCCAATAGTTTTGAGGGGCCTGGGGGGGGGGCTTTTATGCAGTAAATATTGGACAAGACATTTCTGAATGTGATAATAAACGAGAACCTGACTAGTGGAATTTACTGTCCTCTGTTCCGAGTTTGGGGGGGGGGAAACAGTTAACACCATATCAAATCATAATCTTTATGATAAATGGGGGGGGGGCTGAAATTCTTTGAAACATTGATGGCGTAATTGAAATACTTTTGGGGGGGGGAGTTTTAATAGATGTTGT